CCTACTTTGGGGAGTTGTTTCTTCTTTCACAGTGCAATGATGCAACATGTTTTTAATAGAAATGAATGCCGAAATAGAGTATAACAGGGTACCCAAATTTAAAAAAAATCGAAGGTGGTGTTTTTTTTTTCATTCGCATTGGAATTTTTCTTTGTTTGATTTTTTTCCCATGTTTGCCTAAATATATTGTAACTATTGTGTCACTCAGATACCTTATTTATTTTTTAAATAATAGCCATATATTAGTAAAATAATGTCTGCAAGTTATGTAATAATGATTAAATTATTTCATGAGATACAGATTTCCAAAGTTTGCCATTTGTCGTTCGAGCAGGCATGTTTGGCAATTTTTAGAAAACTAAATAAATTTTTAATAAATATTATTACTTTATATTACAAGCACGTTGTACCCATAGTTTGTTTGTAAAAAGTTTTAAAATTCTCCTAATTTTATTGTTTTAATTATTCACTTTCAAACTTGCCCCCTCCATCAGTGCGCGTTATTGCAACTGTCCACCTCTCCCTGCCTTACGATTTTTCTTGTCTCCAAATTTTTTTTCTGGACAAAACTAAGTGTGGATTCGTTTATACCAGACACTAGACAATGTCATATAAAAACATCAGTTGATTTAAAAATGTCGACCAGCCACCCTTTGGTCGATCTTATCTGAAATCACCCAGCAGGCCTTTTTAGCAGACGATCTTTTCGACTCGAAAGCGGCGCGCGTTCCGCAGGCGGCGACAGTCGCAGAAACAAAAAAGACAGGCGCGGTAACAGCAAGTAACTGCGGTTCCTTGTCTGCTAAAGGGCCGGCTCTCGGCGTCGTCTGCTCGTACGTTGGCTGCAGTTGGCTTCGCGACCGCTTGCGCCATCTCTTGTCTCCCGTGCGAAACGGCGCCGTGTTGTTTGCAGAGCGGTGCCGTCGCTGCGTTTCCATAGAAGCTAAGCCTTTTTCTTTCTTTACTTTTTCCTCAGGTAAGTTCGCTCTTTGCAAATTTTACGAAAAAAATGCACCATCTGCGGGCAATGCTGCACAAAGTCGTAGCGCGGTAGGTTAAGAAACCGAATTTTCCGGTCGATATAAAGAGCCTGCCGTCTCCTTGTTTCACCCTGTATATTATCGTTTTTACGGTTCCACCTAAATACTAAAAAAAAGAATGCAAAAAAAAAAAAACTCGAGAAAAATTATAGTTTGGCGCCTAGAAACACGAAAAAAAATTAAGTGTAATTTTTTTCTTTAAGTCTTGGGAAGAATATGTAACGAATAGCGTAACTACGTTACATGTTATTCGAAATAAGTAATATAAGCACGTTAGACTTTAGAGTTTTGAAAATGTAACGAGCAAGCTGCATTGTTACCGGTAAAAGAAACGCGTTACCGGTAACAACATTAGACACGTTACCGCCAACACTGTAGTACGTACCATGCAAGGCTCCAAAATGGCGGCACGGCTGTGAATGAATTTGAGCGCCACAGCGCGGAGCTTGGGAGTTTTGGTACTCTGGAAACCTATTCAGGTGACTCTAGGATGGGCTCTGGGGCAGCTACTAACTACAGGGTAAAACAAGGAGACGCCAGGCTCTTTAAATCGACCGGAAAATTCGGTTTCTTTTGGCCTATTCGTCTGGGGCACACCGCACCCGTTCAGTGCAGTAAACTCTTTCCACTTAAATACACGAAAGGCTGGCGGGGAGAGAAGGAAGCTCCCGTCTTCCCTCTAGCCTTCCCTGTACCACGAACCGCACTGCACCGGTGCGATGCAGGCCCAGACGAATGGACCTTTTTCAAATACCGACGGCACCAGGCGGCGGCTGCACGAACTAAAAATCGAGGAAGACCTACCTGCTCTACCAATCGATAATGGGAGCTACGTTACCAGTTGCTTCGCTCTCTGAGCTGCGTCGCGTGCCCAACGCGACTTCAAAGAGGGAAATCCGTAGCGTCCACCCAAACTTCGTATTTTTTTTTGCGTCCGCTTTCTTTTTTTGTGTAAAACAATTATATATATGCTGCAATTACGTGCTCTACTCGTCGATCTACAGCCTCATTCCGAATTTCCTCGATTTTTCGTGCCGACTCCCACCGCTTGGCATCGGGCGCTCGCGCGTGCGCAGAACGCTTCTCGGAAAAGGTCCCTTGGCCATTAACCTATCGCGCTTCGACCTTGTGCAGCGTTGCCCACAGATGGTGCATTTTTTTTTTGTAAAATTTGCGAAGAGCGAACTTACCTGAGTAAAAAGTAAAGAAAGAAAAAGGCTTAGCTCCTATGGAAACGCAGCGACGCCACCGGTCTGCAAACAACACGGCGCCGTTTCGCACGGGAGACAAGAGATGGCGCTAGCGGTCGCGATGCCAACTGCCGCCAACGAACGAGCAGACGACGCCGAGAGCCGGCCCTTTTGCAGACAAGGAACTGCAGTTCCTTGCTGTTACCGCGCCTGTCTTTTTTGTTTCTGCGACTGTCGCCGCCTGCGGAACGCGCGCAGCTTTTGATTCGAAAAGATCGTCTGCTAAAAAGGCCTGCTCTCGGCGCCGTATGCTCGTTCGTTGGCGGCGTTTGTTGCGCCATCTCCTGTCTCCCGTGCAAAACGGCGCTGTGTTGTTTGGATACCGGTGGCGTCGCTGCGCTTCCGTAGGAGCTAAGCCTTTTTCTTTCTTTACTTTTTCCTCAGGTAAGTCCGCTCTTCGCAAATTTTACAAAAAAAAAAAAAAAATATGCACCATCTGTGGGCAACGCTGCACGAAGTCGTAGTGCATAGGTTAAGAAACCGAATTTTCCGGTCGATTTAAAGAGCCTGGCGTCTGCTTGTTTCACCCTGTAGATTAAACAATCTGTAACAATATCAATAGAAGATTATTTTGCGTCCAGAAAAATGTTCGTTCATAAAAGAATACGATGACTCAATGTAGCTGCATGAATAAATTACTACAGGAAAGAGTAGAATGACGATAATTATTTTAGAGCGAGAATCATTCCATTGCATTTTTTTAACGTGTGATGATGATTATAGTTGCAGATGTAGTACCACAAGAGGTGGAAGCTTAACGTAGCTCATATTTTTACCTCAACGGAAGCGTTTCTCTGTTTATGCGTCGGAAGCGCCATTCGCAATTTAGCGCCTGAGTTCGTGATAGAAACGTTGGATTCATTTTGTGCCAAGGACACTCGTGCCATGTATTTAACAGTGCGTACAGATGCAAATAGAACTTTACTAGCCGACACCGATGAAAAAATATCCTAAATCCTTAACTTCCTTTTTTTTTTTTTTTGTTCAAGCGCATGTTGTTGTTTTTCAACTTATGTCTATTCTTTTATTTTTCTGCGCTCGGGTGTTCCTGTTTCGTGACAGCGCGGCAGTAGCCACGATGTCTCGGCGTTCGTGGTCTGTTTTTCCATGGTTTGTATCTGTCGGGAAAGACCCACTCGTTCATGGATTTCAACTGGAGACTTATGTGCAGTAATACTTCCAAAATAAACCGGTTATTTATTATGACCCAGGCTCACGTTCGGAGAGAATTGCTGGGTTTTATTTTTCCAGTCCGCGGGGCAAACGCTTTGTCACGCCGCGTCAGGCAGTTTCGCCAAATGCCTAAAACATATACGAAGTGTAAGTTAGTTCTGCTAACATTTTATTAAAAAAAAAAAAACACAAAATCTGGAACTTTAAGATTTTATTTTGAATACCCTCCCTGTCCACCTCAAAAACAAAATGGACAGTCATTGCGACGATTTACTCAGCGAATGTTGCTCTCGAAATGCATGTTTGACGGGTCTGTAACGAAAACCGGGTGTTTCTGCCTTTCAAGCATCCCAGAAAATAGGGTGGATGAGATAAAAATAAACTCTCTTGGGAACAAACTTCCAACCACAGCGGACGTCAGGGATTGCAGATAATATACGAATTACAAAAAAAAAATATATATTACATAGAATTTACTAATTAACTTTCTAGTCAGTGAAAACAGACGTGGTTTTAATTAGAAATTTGCTGACCCCTAGATCAGTTCATTTTCGAACGACTTGAAGCCCGTGGGCAGCGCGGAGGTGCGCTCAAGTTACCCCTCGTGCAGCAGGCGCAAGGCCGGCGATGAGAAAACACGATTTATAAGCATACTACTTCTTTCTCGTGTCTTCGTTTCTGTGCGCTTTTTTGTGTTTGTTTTCGTCAGTCACCAATCAACTCGCCCAACTTGCAACTTTCATTTCGAATAATCACGGCGTGCGGACATCCTCCTCTTCCTTGAAAGAACGTCATCCCAGTCGGATGGCGCCAACTCGGCGATTGGACCAGAGCCGGATGCCACGTGTCCTTCGACGGGTTCATTGGACTCGAGGCTCAGCCAAGCATTGACGCAGCACTCGCATCCAATCCGTGTCTGCGCTCAATCTCACCGTGATAGTAAGAGGAGTCCTGCTCCTCGCGGAATGTTGCTGATATTGCTCTTCACGTGTTGAAACGCCAAGACCATCGTCCTTAAACAACCAATTCTTGTAAGAACTACTTCGCGCTGCGCATGCAATTTGCGCAAAACTTCCTTTTCTCTTGATGTGAAAACGAGTATAGATGGTGTTGGCTCAGCGGCACCCGTTGCGGAAGAATTTCCCTTGGGGTCCCCGTAAGTGAACCGTGTAATGTTGAATCACGTGACTAGACAAGTTACCGCGAACGACGCAATTCTGGCGCTTTATAGGAAGCCGCACATTCGCGCTTTATAGGAAAGACTAACACTGTACGTGTACAGGGAGGTCACACAACAGTGTCCGTGAGACCTGATGGTTAATCATAATTCGGTAGTTCGAAGATGTGTCACTTATAACTGTGGTATATGTATACCCTCACTCTATTAACACCTTTGGTGCGGCCCTTTGGTTTTCTAAGTCGTATGCGCTGCAGCTAACCATTCCTTGCAGTCGAGCCTCGGTGATGTATGCTAACTATGACACAACTCCGAGGACAAGTTGTTTGGTCGGTAAGAGACGCTCAAACCCGAACGTTTCGGTCCGTTGTACGCAATTGCGTCCAAGTCTTTATTATTGTACTTGATCTGGTGCGTTTGTTTACATTGCTCGTTCGTGTTAGGGCATGCGCCACTTTCAACGTCGGCGTACTTTGGTTGGACGCTGACGTTACAAATTTTGTCGCGAACCGCCGCTCAGAAGTGAACCTTGGGCTGCGCCTTGACTGCTTCATGGGGACCCGATGGCAGCACGGATGCCCAGCCAAGTTTCTTGAGCCGTTGGAAGGATGTACTTGGCAGGAAGCATGAAACCTTTCCCGACATCGAACGAACGCATACGTGGCTGAAGTTCGAGAGCAAAGGACTTTGTCACTCCCGCCTTCTCGTAGGCCCAGTCCACGCTAGAGCCAGTCACCGGATCTGAAAGAACAACGGGCCGTGTCAGGGTGTCCATTATTCGTGGACTGGTGACGATTGTCACCTGCCTGGCACGCGTTTCTTTGTCTTCATTTTTTTTATTGAGGTTAACGGAAACCCCAAGTTCTTCGCCAGGAAGCAAGGCAAATGCAGTGGCTCAATCATGAGGCGTAGCGGATATGTAATGACCGTTTTGAAGGATTCATACTTCTTTCGTATCGCTGCTTTACAACAACTGTGCGCTGTTCTGGCCCTCGTTCACTAACCTTAAAAAAAAAAAAATGAACGATTGTATTGCAATTTTTTTTTGTTTGTTATTTCCGACTAATCTGCTTTATTACACGCTCCATCAGTCAAAACACTACTTTTTAATTTATACTGGAAGAAGTGCAGTACCATATGTTGAGGAATCTGATTTGCCGTTAACATCTCGTACTACAGAGGAAGAGGTAGTGTTGACGAAGAAAAACGTTCTACCTAGTCTAAATATTCCAGCATTCCCTGAAAACAGGAGTGGCACTATCCAACTGGAAAATCGGGGAGGTTGTAATATTCTTAATTCGAAGTACCGACCAATAGCACTCACAGGCACGTCCTACAAGATTCTCATCACTATATCGCTTACAAGCACCTGATTGTGAACGGAAGTATTGATTCATCGCTTTTGTTAAGTACTCTCTGTTTCCATGTTCCCTTGCGGTCTAGTCGGTTTCAGAGTCGGTTCAACCCCCGGACTTTATAGGATACGTCTCCCTTGACAAGAATGCAGCTGGAATTCAACAGGCTTGACCAAGATACATTTTTGGTGACGTGACAAGATTTCTACGTGCACTGGAGTCGATAATTTGTGTATAATATTGAACCTGTCTGGCTGTCTCAATTTCATTTCCAATGACGAACTGTGTACCACTATTTAGGCTATGTGCTGTTTGTGGACACAACAAAAATACAGATTATTATTATTTTAAGTTACCTAATTCTATGCGTTTTCCGCAATGCACTGCATGGCTTCCGAAAGAACCTGAAATGTAAAACTTTTTTTTTTTTTTTTTTTTTGCAAGCGACATTTTGTTTTTGCAGAAACTTTATCCGGCGGAGTTGTATTTTTCTTTTGGTAACATTTAGGATGAAGATCTCCATTATAGCGACCCCGATTCTTCCAACCGCGCCTTATTTTAATCTGCGTGCTCTCATGATTGCGTTGTCAACCACTTTAAAAAAATGATCATCTAGAGTCGGTAATAGGTTAAGGTGTATCCACACGACGGACCAAATTGCTGTTTCGGACCGCGGGCCGCGTATCACGTGATATTACGTCACCGGTTTTCGAGGTCCGCCGGTGGTCCGCGGCCCGCGCTTCTGAGAAATGCCAAGCGACTTTTCTCGCCCGGACATTGGCGGCGGACCGCGGCGTTTTTAGTATAATTGAAGCGCTAAGTCTGGCAACAAGCTGACTTTTGTTGTGTGGATTGGAATCCAAATCCAAAGTCGTTTTCTTTTGGTGCCAACTGTTGAAGACGAAGAAGACGAACCTTTTGTTGTGGGCGATGCAGCTTTTTACTTCGTACCGCTTATGGAGCAATTCCCCGCTCTGTGGGACAATAGTCGCGACGACTACTTAAATAATCATCTAAAGATGTCCCCATGCCTTTTTCGGTTCACTTAAGTCCTCCTCGTTCTCAATAGTCAACGCAAGGGCCACCGCGGCCAAACGTCTCTTTCGTTCAACCTCCATCTTGGCTCCTTACAAATAGCCTCAAAGCAGCTCGCTGCATGCGTTTGGCGGAGCTGTTAGGTCGAGGGTTAGACCGGTCCGTTCGCTCTGTCGTCTGCTTTTTGGTCCGCCGTGTGGATGCTCATTGCAGCCGGGCGGCCCGCGGACCGCGCACCACGTGATCAATCGGTCCGCGGCCCGGTCCGTCGTGTGGATACACCTTTAAGCGCTCATTCACACTGGAAGCGGATCCGCGTTCGCAAAGCGGTTGTGAATGTGGTTGTATAAAGATTCAGTACGATTGCGCGCGCACTCGATGACATCAAGTGCGCGTGCAATTGTACTGGATCTTTATACAACCGCGTTCGCAACCGCTTCGCGAACGCGGATCCGCTTCCAGTGTGAATGAGCGGTAAGAGTAGATATGCTCCACCTGGAGCGTGAGCTATCTGCCATTGATATCACTTCGTCGAACGAGCAGCCCAAGGCCGGTGGACGGTAATGAGCTCGTGATGGATGCGGAGGATCTACTGGCCTCTTGACCTGTCACTCACTGTAGCTCTCTAAATTGACATTGAAAAAGTATGGGACAGGTTTTGTACCTGTCCGAAATCATTGAATATAAAAATCGGACGTGCTTACGTGCAGTCCCGTTATGTTCTAAAGAGAAAATAAAAATTTGTATCGGCTGAACGTGTCAATCTGGTTCCCATTGTGAAAATAAAAATAATAAACTACCAATAGAGGCAAACTTAAAAAGTCGGTGGAGGTTTTTCAAAATTGCAGTCGAAATTGTAGTCATTGTCAATGGGGTAAAATACAATCTAACCTGGCATGATGTTTCTCCCGGGAACCGAAATGTCCTTCATTTGCCTTCTTCACTAACTGTATACACGGCTCGCTACGTAATGTCTTCTTATCAAGCCGGTGGTAATTCCTACTTGTTTTCGTCGAGAACAACAAATTCGACGGTGCGAAAAGGCAGAGGGTGTGCGCTCAGCGGAAAGGCCTCCATAATGGTCGCTGTTGTGACGTCAGTGCAAGCCATGTATGACTCTCCATCATCAACTAAATGCTCACGTTCACTTCCTGCTTGCTACTTGTACTCTCTTCCTCTTCCTCCAGCAGAGACATGTCCGCCATGCTATGTTCCCTGCTTTTCTTTCTCTTGACTATCACATATATGAGGGGAAGATGAAAGTAAACGGATTTTCTTCCTTGCAGAAAAGTGAGGTTGCGCGTCGGCCTTTCGGTTCGTTTAGTCTGAGGCCGCTATGCTTTCCAGAGACGGAACCATTCGTGCAGGATTTATCCGGTTCAAGACCTCCGTTTCAGGTGCGCTCAGAGCCTCAGATGCACTTACATTAAATAAACGAATATAATAGTCTGTAGTTTGAGGTGCATAAATCCACTTACAGATGGTTTTTTGAATGGGGCCGACAGTATACTCCGTTCCAGTCGCCTTGCGGATGGCCTCAGCACCTCTCTCCGCAATTGTGAGCTGAAAAATGCAAAACAAAAATCGACCAAATTTTATTAGTTTTATTATTTAAGCTTTGAGAGTAAAAAAAGAAAGTACTGCACCATATTATTATAAGGAACTACATTCGCGAAATGTTTCTTCGATTTTATTTAGAGAACCAGGTGGCCAACACTGACGCTGTTGTGGAAAGCTGGCGAAATCGTCCGGCGTTGGGCCAAGTGAGGCTTTCCCTCCTGGAAAGTGTGCTTGCGGTGGAGCCCATCGTCTGCTACGCGCCAGACCTCCGTTACGCTCGGAGTTGTACTTCATTTCACCGTAGCTCGCCAAACGACGAAGGTTTCGTTCCTATTGAGCCAATCAGCATGTCGGAGGGAGACACGTGAATATTATCTGACTATTTTGTATAGGAGCAGACGCAAGCACTGTGCGTTTGCGTTAGCATTGCGCACTCCACACTGCGGATGCGCCATGTGTACGCAACGCAGCGAGCTATAGATACGTACGTACGATCACCATCGGTTTTTGCGTGCGTACGCGGGAGCCCTCTGAGTTTCCTTCTCGTTGCTCTGGCTTGGCCGAATTCCGGCCTTCAATTGCTTGGAGCAGTGTGTATGGGCGCATCTAGATGGCGCTGCAACTGCTTGCCTATGATTCAGAGGGTAGATAAATATAAGTATCTGGGGGTATGGATTCATGACAGTGTGGATTATCTTAAAGTGATCATGAAAAATATGTAACTGGTAAGGGCGACAAAAATGCAGCTGTAATGAAGAATAGAGCTTCCTGCAATTATAGCATGTATGACTGATATTCAAGCGAGGTTAGAAGTAAAGCGACGCGGTGTGTGTAGACTGGAGTTGGGAGCGCATGGTCCGAATCAGGGGATACAAGGCGATATGGGATAGTTATCATTTGGGGGCGATGAATTCTAGTGGTAAGATAACATTTGAAGAGAGACTAAGAGATATGGAAGAGGAACGATGGGCACAGAGAGTTTTTCGCTATTTGCACATGAAGGGCGTCGATGCAACGTGGAGAAAGCGAACAAGAACTCGGGTAGACATTTTTGCACTATAATGGCGAAAATCAGGAAATGACAGTTAAGAAGAGAGTTAAAGCAGCGGAGATGAAAATATAGAAAGCGGGGATGCAGAAACCTACTCTGGAAACTTAGAGAAAATGTAAAATAAATATTCCTAAGGAATGTATCTATGACAATTCCAGGGGAAGCTCATTGTCGTTTGAGGCCAGGGTAGGGCGTTACGGACTAGGATGTACAAAGCGAAAGGTCAGGACATAGATACGGTGTGGTGGGCATGTGCGGAGGAAAAAGGATACGGCTGAACACTCAGTACTTTACTGTGAAGGGCTTCACCCTGCAGTTGTTCGAGGTGATACTGATTTAGTGAAGGCTTTGGGCTTTATAGGCAGCGACGGAAAAATACAGGCCAGGAAAGCGGAGATCAAGCAGAGATTATCGGACCGATGACATTAATCGAGGGAAAAATGAAGTTTGGTGGAAAACGATAGAATAAGGCTTGTGCTTAGCGGCGATATGAGGTACTTTTGCCCTTCTTCATTGATTACGAATTTAATTGAAAATTAGTTAATTTGAATTACGCCGACGGCTTGCGCTAGGTGGCGCAAGCCGTCGCCATATTGAAAGGGTTCAGCCGTATCCATCCATTCATCCTATGCCACGTTTAACGTTTGGCAACGCAGTTCTGTGTATGAAATCTGATATCAAAGCAAGGTTAGAAGTAAGGCAACGTGGTGTGGGTAGGCTGGCGTCGTGAGCGCATGGTTAAAATTCTATCTTACTACTAGCTTTCCTGCACTAAAACAATGACCATCTCATATTACCCTGTACCTTTGAGTTGATGTTTAAATTAAACATCGGATCAAGGGTACAGGGTAATATGAGATGGTCATTGTTGGAGGTCAGGGAAGCTAGTAGTAAGATAGAATTTCACGAGAGACCAAGAGACATGGGGGAGGAATGATGGGCACGGAGACTTATGAGCTGTTGTGGTACATAAAGGGCGTCGATACGAAGTGGAGAATGGGAACAAGAAAACTCGGTTCGAAATATTTTGGGCAATAATGGGGACGCAGATGAGAAAATTATGGTTAAGAAGAGAGTTAAAGAAACGGAGAGGCGGATATGGGGAGCGGGGATGCAGTCTTAATCGGCTCTGGGGACTTGTAGAAAATATAGATGAAGATTGGTAAGGAAAGTATCTCTGACAATTGTAGGGGAAGCTCGTTCTGGTTTGAGACCAGGACAGGGGTGCTGCGAACTAGGGAGTACAGAGCGAAATATCAGGACATAGAGACTATGTGCGGAGCATGTGTGGAGGAAAGGGAGATGGCTGAACACTTAATACAGTACTGTAATGGGATTCACCCTGTGGTTTCTCAAGGTAATAACGATTTAATGCAGGCGTTGTAAACCCAGTTTTGTCGGACTCGGTAGCATAAATATAAACGTGTGCCTATCTCAAATACTCAGTTGGAATGTTTTTCACTATACACGAGCTTACTGGCACTAGTGGGACTCAAGGATACTCGCACGCAACGCCACTGGCCAAGAAACTCCTTTGTTGCAGTGAAATTTCGAGGACAAAAGCAATTATTTTCGTTCAATCTCTCCTTTGCAAAATTTGATGACGTAACGTGGGGATCGCAGAACACCCAAGTGACGATATTTGAATGCGGTTCATAGATTGGACCCGAGCCCTGCGTGGGCACTAGATTTGGGCTCGTGATAATTACTAGCTCGAGAAGCATTCGGGTAGTGGCCCGTGTCCAATCGCTGCAACGGGGACAATAGCCGAGCCATAACAATGTCTGGAAGTCAGCGCGTGACCTGTGCTTTGCCAACCCCAGCGCGTGGCTATGATCAACATTGGCGGCATATAATCGGCTCCTGATCGCGTGGCCGCTTGTTCTGGCTGCGAGTTGAGGGGGTGAACGCTGCTCGTTTTTCTTTAATTTTTTTCTGGGACTTCTATTGCGTGAAGTGAAAAACGAACGCGTGTTTCATAGGTCATTAACGTCAGGGATCTGTTCTAAGCGGTATTTGCGCAAAGTACAAAAATTGTTGCATCGTCCCTTTAAAGGGGCGATGCAACAATGTGTTAGGTCGCGCCGATTCGTGGAAGTCGACGCAGTGACCTGAGGACATGTATAGTGCGTCGGTGCACATACGTCAATGAAAGCTTAAAGGGCCATGAAATAAATTTTGGACTGGGATAACTAATTTTAGATTGGAATCTTACTAAAAGAAAAGAAAGAAGATAGAAAGCCAAAAGCCTGCTTTTCGGTACGAAAATTCGAACATTTAGCGGACTATTTCGTACCTTCTTTCCGTCAAAAGCTTTCCGCATTTTGACCGTGATACACCCGCGGTACCCAAAGCACGTCAGCCTACTCCAGCTCACGCATTGGACACGAGCACTTGCGTCACTCGGACGTATGCGCTCGTCAACAATCAATCCGTCGACGAATAATTGAATTCGGAGCCCAAGCACGTCACGAACGCGTGATTTCTCATTTTGCTTTTCAGTTTAGGTGGCTAGCTAAAGAGAAAGAAGTTGAAAAATCATTTCATGGCCCTTTTAAAAAGAAATGACACATTCTATGACGTCGTGGAGCAACTTACCAGATCCTTGTGGTTGGGGGCATTTTTATCCGTGTAGGCGTAGGGAAACATCCACATGAGGCCGAAGTTGTGCAGGGAGAAGTAGAAGGAGATGCGACCCTTAGCCGCCTCCACGGCATTTTTGATGGCCCGAGACTCCGGCTCCGAGAAGGGACTCTCGCCGCAGTAAGTGCCCGCACATGGTCTGTTACTGGTGCCGACTCCTGCACAGAGTGATTTGCATCGTGCGATGGTCGGACAGTCTTCCAGCTTTTGGGCTGTAGAGCCCCGACCAAGCTACAGTGAGCGACAGGACTTTGTTCCGACCACATGCGAATTCAAGCAGATATTTATTCGCTCTTTGAGAAAACTTAGTTTCCGCAGCAGGTTTTGAGACAACTAATATGAAGGGCCAGGAAGTTACCGGTGTTGTGCTCTATCTAAACTGCTCTAGTCATTTCCCTTTCTTACCCTTGCGGCCACTAGGTGCCACCCTGTCTTCTTCTTTCTCAAGCCTTTCTCGAGCCGGGACCCTGCACCGGCCCAATAAACCTAATTTGCCCGATGGGCGTGTCAGTGTGAACACGACCCTGGCGTCGACCCACGCCGACACCCTAGAACGTGCCAACCCACTCAAAGAGTAGGAAGCGTGCCAACCCACTCAAAGAGTAGTTTGACACGCAGCATATGAAGCCCAGATGACAGGCAGTCCTGTCTCAAAACAGGCTAGTCGGACGTAGCAACGGCGTCATCGTTGCTAAGGAGCCAGCCGAAATGCTGGCGGCGCAGCGAGAGGGGCGGTCGCTGGTATGCGCTGGCCTGACGGCAGGCCTAACGTCAGGTCTATCATTACGCTTTGAGGTCTAACGTCACCAACCTGTACCCGCAGCTACAGCGATGATGATGATGAGAGGACACGTGATTTACGCACGCGCCGCGCCGAGCTTCGGACTCCTGTCGCTGCCTCACCCAGCGGCGCAGCAGTCACCAGCGAGCCAGGGATGCTTTCGCATTCACAACTCATAAGAAGTGCTTAAGTGTCCTCGGAATTTCTTTTCGATACTAAAGATGGCACACATAGAGGAGCTCTTTCGTATGTAGGATTATGGTCTGTGTAGTGCCTGAGTTGTGTGATGCACCATTTAGTTCACCGCTAAGCTAGTAGTACAGTTCAAAGCTGCCAAGTCTAGACTAAAATATGAATTAGATTATAACTGTTATACAGAAGTTAGTCTATTGACCGTGTTATAATGGGATCATTGCACAAAGAAAAAGCATACCCCAGACATGGATGTATGTTGTTAAAGGTGCACTAAAGAGATTTATTACGTTGCTTTCTAATATGAACCTTGATAGACAGAAATTATTTTCACTGGCACCAGACGCTGGCTGCACGAATATTCCTTCTCGACATCTTTCAACTATCCCCTGTGGCAAATATTAATTTTTGATTGCGTTTTTATACGAAAGCTGGTCGCGAATGTAAATAATATGCCTCTTTTTCCTTTTTTTTCAAAGGTGGATCCAAAAAAAAAAAAAGAAAGAGAAGGGATCACAGAGATGACGCCATCGTCCAATTAGCCCTCACCACAAAACGGTCCCACGTCGAAGTTCCGGTTGGCGTCCGCTCCTGGACAAAACGGACTTTTCTTGTTCACCGACCGCGTTTTTCTCCACATCCGATCCTGAAACATTGACATATTGACACGAACGACATGACAAAAACCATTGTGTTAAAAAAAAAGAGAATTATTAGAGCCGCGAGAATTCTGGACATGCTAACTGAAAATGAGACGAACGAACATCGCATCGGCGTTGATCTCCACCTAAAAACTGGTTCACACATGTGCACCGGTTACATTCGTAAAACAGCCAAAACGACAGAAACGACCAGAACGCAGGAAAAAGCGTGACTCGTGATTACTTCGCGAAGCTATAGACCTCTTGCAACCGTCGCTACGCGTGGTGTATGCGGCGAACACTTGTCCCTGCAACTTTGTCGTTGCTGCCGTTTTGATTCCCGTGTACACAACCGACGCAAATGTGCGAACTATTCTTGAAACGCCAGGAAAGCGTCGGCATGCATGCTGCGCGTGGCACACGAATGCCGCTGCGTCTGCCGAACGCCGAGGCGACATTCGTGCCCATCCCGTGCCGGCCTTTTTTAGGTGACGCCAAAGCTTCTCTGGCGTTCTTATCGTCACGATCTCATTGGCTACAGAGAGGCTGTAAGATGACACGCAACGCCTATATGAGTAGACACCGAGGAAGAGGAGGAGACCAGAGAGCGCGCGTGGACGTCGGAACGTTCGCTGAATGCATAGGTAGCTTGCACTGACGTCACTTGGCCAGACATAACGGGGGAAAGGGCGCGCGAGAGGATAACTTTCGCTGCCCCAGAAAGAGGAGCGGATTGACCTTTAAGCTCTAGCGAGTTTCTTTTCTACACAAGAGTGTTTTAGCCAACCCAAGACGAAAGTTCTGGGCCTCACTCGCCTATAAAAAACGGATTTCATTACCCAGGCACCTAATTGGGGCGTGCAGGGGCCCTTAGCTGGACGGCAGGACCGAGGGACAGGGACATCGATGTTCACCGAGACCTAGGGAGCGTCGAAGGCTACCTCACGCGCGGCGCTGGCGAATCCCGGCGAGCGGCGATGTTTCGGTCCCTTGGTCCCGCCGTCCAGCTTAGGGGCCTTGTTCTTGATATGGAATGCACGAACAAGGTATATGCACAACGACGTATCGATATAAGTGGTTTTGTTTTGAAGCAGAAAATGAATATTTCGTACAGAATATTTTCCACCAACCAGCAAGAAATAATGGGACATGACAAAACAGATCATAGTAACAATCAATAAGAATGCGCAGTTACCTCATTTAGTCGCTGGAATAAATTACTGTAGTCGACTTTATTTTAGCGGGCTCGATATTTCGTGGACTTTGCAAAGCTCTCGTATATATATATGCCAAGGTGTGCGTGTGTAAAGCCCCTCTATGCGTGTGAAGGATCGAAGCGGTACTGAAGCTGGAACCACAGCCCCCGTCTCGTACGCTATAGGAAGGCTAATATCTGAGTTGTATCGGTGGTCCTGCAGGCGAACCTCTGGATGGCAAGCACGCCAGAACTCCGTCTGACAAAATTGTTTGTTTTTGTTTTCACACCTTGGACACTCCACGGTCTTTGAGGAACCTGACGGGAAATATTTATTTGTTTATACTGCTAATCGTTTGGGACTGTTAAAAGAGTGTAAAACAACCAAGAAACGAAACCTGTTTCCAGCGATTACACTTCGAAGGCTGTACGCAGATCCTGCGCATATAAGCATGTTACATTAAAAAACGAGACAAATGTTCCCCGCTATCGTGATTTGAGAATATTCAGAGCTCACCAGGTCTCCTGTCTCCAGCGTTAGGTCGAACACTCGCTCCTTTACGCGTCAGTCGCAAATACTGTTTCTTATAGCTAAAGAGAGCAACCGAGTGGATCATAGGCTGTACGTACGGAAGTATGGCTGTACACGTATCCGTCCGGGTTGACCACCGGGTGTATCCTCCACTCGTACTCGTCTACGAGACGTTTGATGGTTTCATCTTTCTCGTACATGGTCGCTAGCTGCAAAAAAAAAAAACAAAAAAACAAGCGTGATATGGGACAACTTTTTTAAATTTTTTCTTGCAGCGCAGCGCAGTAATGTCTGCGCCTCTAATACCCCGCAGAGAACTTGAGAGGTCATTCACCGCCAATCACAGACAGTCGGAGCCAGTAGAAAGTAGAGCGCTGCGGGAAAGCGCCGCTTTTGGGGGCCGGGTACAGCCACAAGCGGACAGAAACGGAATCTGTGAGAGCAGGCCTTTAAGCTTGCCCTCTCAGTTTCCCCCTCTCGATTCTTTTTTATGTCCCCAACCTGAAGGAGCTAAACAGGCAGTACATATGCCACGAATAATGCTCCGTCGTTGGGAAACAGTTCTCATAAAGGACTTGGACTGCGTTCACAATGGCGCATACACTACTGTCCGCAGCTGCAATGGCCGCATGAAGTGTTTTTCCTCGTGTCCCACTGCTGCTAAAAATGAAAATTCGTTAGTTCCCTAATGAATAGCATGCTGAAAAATCAAACAATACGAATGTCAATTCGTCTATTTTTATAGCTCTTATTGATTTTATAATCCGTTTGTTAAAAAAGAAAAGAAAAGAAACGACAATGAGAGTGAACGCTCTACATTTCGGACTGCAGGGCGATCAGACGTCCCTTTTTCGCCGTGACAGTCCCGTTTCAGAGCTTCATACCTGCGTCCCGTCAATTTGTCTTAATAAAGCCAAATGACCCGTTTTCGTGGTAACTTGGTTGCGAAAATAGTGGCAAGCGGGTGGAAGACAAAAAAATTGTTGGTTGTGACCAGTGGCGTATCCCAGGGGGGAGGCTTATGGGGCTTCAGTCCCTCCCCCCCCCCCCCCCCCCCTTTTTCCTTCTCTCCCCTGCCTTTCCTCTCTATGGCCCGTTTTCTACTTTGAGCCGCCTGAAAGACTCCGCAGCCAGTGATTTACCCGTAGTAATGATTTTGTAATCGCAAGTACAGCGTACTTATGCAATCAAGATCAAGCTTGATCCACACTGTCCGCTTGGGCTTCCTAGATGTTCGAGACGGTGGTCTCGATGCCCCCGCGTCGCCCGCGGGGGCGTTGAGGGGGAAAGCAACGTACAGTCTCAGATTCTCTTGCTGACGGTCTTCGCTGAACACATGATGGCAGAAATGCCTGCAGACACGTATCAAGCGTCTTGGAAGCATGTTTGTTTCACACATCATGTGCATGGTTCAAACATACATTTTTTGCTTTCTTTTTTTAGGTTTTACAGATTTCTTTTTTAAAAGCCGTGATAGCTACCTACACTAATCCGGTATGTGTAGTTGAGTCTTACAGCTAAGGGGGACATAATATAGGGTGCTAATCTTCTCGATAAGACGAATAATGAACTTAAATGGGTTAATTAACTTCTTAATTAGTGGAAATAATCGTATGGTCCCAATTAAAAAACTTACCGAGCGTCATCAAAAACCACCAAGTGGGTAATTTTTAAAAAGAAGACTTTGACCGAGTGGGAAGCGCAGCAGTGCGCTAAAGTTTCCAATGCGCGTGCAACAGGAACAATGCTTGCCGTGAGGAAACGCGGATCACAAAAGACGGGAAAAAATATTTAAAAAAAAAACGCGCGAACGCGTTATTGCCATGTGGCGTGAGCAACCCACGCTCTCGCGTTATCGCAAAGGTAGCCTCGCGCCTCCTCACGGTGTGAGCCTGCTGCACGATCGGTAACTATGGATCTCTACCGTGCTTCTCACTAAAATTAACTGATTTTGTGGCTCTCGATGACGCTCGGCAACTTTCTGAATGGAACCATATGTTTCTTTCACTATTAAAAAAAAAAAGTTAATTTACATATTTTAGTTAGTTAGCCGATTCGTCATAAAGATTAGCCCTCTTAATCGTGTCCCCCTGGCCGCATAACTCACCCGCACAGACCGCATTGTCTACGTCATGCTACGTCTACTAGCATGACGTAGAACTACGTCTACGTCATGCTACCCACCACATTCAACCTCGGTCAACCTCGTCGCTGTGCAGCATGAGGGTCCGAAAGTTTGCGGTCTGTTGGTCAACGAATACGCAAACACACAGACCGAATAGAATACTGTCAGAAACCACTTGAATTCGTGTAGAAACATTCCTCAAAAACATTTCACCCGCGATCACCCCCTTCTCGGGGGTGACCTTGTCCAAAGGAACCTCGTCCATACGTGGTTCCTTTGGAACGACATAAACACAACCACTTCCTTGAGCCCCCCACCCCACGCCACACCTTTCCAGCTCGCTTCGAAAATCCTGGATGCGGTAAGGCCGGCCTTTCAAATCGCAGTGAATAAATGCTGAGTTCACCGAGTCTTTGTCGTTTGGAAACGAAGGCAGCATATACGCAAGATGCTTGAGACGTCAGTTGGAAGTTATATGTGAGTAATTCACGAGCTTACCTGGTCGATAATGTAGAGGCATGTGGCATGAGCCACCCACTCTCTCGCATGAATGCCGCACTCAAAGAATATGATGGGCTTGTTCTTTCCTTTCGTAATCTGACGAGACGAAAGAAGAAAAAAAAAATCGTGAGGCAAGATTTGCGTGACTTGTTGTTTCCTTTTCCTAGCTATACCCTTACAAAAAATAAGTACTTAGACTTTATTGGTGTTTTATGGCAATGTGTGCCTAGAAGGAGCATAAGGTCTAAGTAGCATAAGGTTTCAGCGATCCGCGACATCTACGGCTCTGCTTGTTTCTGGGCAATATATATATATATATATTTTTTTTTTCAAATTTGTGAGATCAGTTGCGCTGTCACCGATAAACATTCTGTGCGCCGCAATGACAACACTTGCAATTTTGCCACATTTAGAGAAATGAGCTGGGTTTCGGCATTAATAACAACACTACAATAGCGGCTAAGCCCATTTTTCTTATACATTCATTAAATTCATTTAAATATTATCCTTTTTATATATTTTCTGTCATTTTATATGAAGTTCTTTGGTAGTAAATAATTTGTGAACGTGTCTCTAAAACGTATTTATTTGACAAGTTTCGTAATTTTATTTTGAATAGAAATATATTATTGTAATTTTTATTGTTCCTTGTACATGTCGTGAACCTTTCATAAAATAAGTAGACCCAAATTTTACGACGCGCATGTTTCGGTGTGAAATTGGCAGCTGTGCAAAGTACAATAGCGAAACCCTGGCAATCTCCACGACTCGAGCTTCGAAGTTTTATATCTCCGAAAGAAAATTAGCTACGAGGTTCGCATATACCTGAATGCTGTTATCAAGAACATGACTTTAACGTATATGTTTTTTTACATAACTATAAAAAAGAATATTGCCGGAACCTACATTGCACGATCTGACGTGGAAACACCAAGTAACACTTAAGATTACGGTATCCATCTGTGGCGTTTGCAGAATAGGGAGGTAAGAGGACTTCCCTAGAGTTTCGCATACGTAACGAGTGCATAGGAGTGCTGTCCGAGGAATGAAAACATATTCGGATCTTAGAAGGTTCCTAGGATGTCTAGGCATAGGCACCCTAGTCCCGGTGGATGCGGAGCCACGAGTTACTACAGAAGAAATCAATTGTCCATAGAAATCCGTCAACTACCACAGGTTTGCCTTAGAGGTAATAGAACGGAATTAGCTGGTCATTAGAGCGTCCACATCGATTTTTGTAAGGGTAGGGGAGTGGAACTTAGAAGAATGCTTCACGGAAGTTCGCAACTGGCGGTCAAATGTGTGTGTAAAACGCAAAACTCACGTGGACCCCGATGATGTCTCGTCCCTCGTAAGATTTGCCGATGACGGTGTACTCCACGTGGTCGTATTTCTTGCTGTAGGACATCAAGGCCTTTTCGAACTAAGGGAAAATAAGGTAGGCGTTTCTTGGATTCACAATGAATAACGTGTTCGTTTAAAAATATTTTAGTGTTTCCGTTAAATTAAATCGGGTAATTAAACAAAACCTGAGATACGCAATAAAATATTGTTGATCCCAGAAATATTTCCTGCTAGTCTGCCAAACCCTGTTCACACAGCAGGGAGTAGTAATGGTTATGCCGTTTCATACGTTTTATTTAGAAAAACAAATCTTTGTATAATTTGAAATTATTTTAGTGTACCTGTTTACCAGTCCTCAATTACACTATTTAGTTGTCTTTCTTATCTTCTTTTCTTTTTTAAATTTTGCACGAGAAATTTGAGCAAATATAAACCGCATCCTTAATGCGCTTGGTGCCTTGGTTTCGAAAACAAGTTTCTTCGTTACTAAGCCCATGGTTTAAACCGATGAGAAACCCGGCGCATTTTGTGCTACCTCTTCATTCTTCAGGTAGCGCTGGAATCTGAGTGGAGCGCTGGAGTAGGTGGTGAATCGAGCCTCGTGTCTTTCGTCGTCGATAAGCCTGTGAAAGACGCACAAACGAACAACTATAATGCGGTTCGATGAACGGTTCAGCTCGTCCACTGCGCAAACTTTGGGTGTCACATCGTACACTCCATAGAATTTCCTGCGCGTCTACTTACCGTCCAAACACTCAAAGAGCCAATCTCTGCGATCTACGAAATCAGCTCAGCGAATGATGAGGCATAACATCTGTTTAGACCTAAAAGTGAAGTTTGCGCTGTGGCATCACGCAATGCAAAGCGTCATGCTTGCATTGCGTAATGCAACAGCGCGGACTTCATTTTGAGGTCTAAACAGATGTTCCGCCTCATCATTCGCTGAGCTGATTTCGTAGCTAATTTCGAGCTCCTTTCCCCTTGTTCTCGCCATCGAGAACAGTTCTTTGGTTGTGTTTGGAAGGTAAGTAGACGCGCAGGCATCTTTTAGAGTGTATGAGGACGGTATGACTCATTTCGTCAATCGAGAGCAAATAGCATGGAGGTAGGAAGCTTCTGGAGGCGACATGGTGGCATCAGAGGTGAAGCCAGAAGTGTGGAGGGACACGTCCCCAACGATGACTTCCTACCTCCATGGCTGAGAGCGTGCCAGATGCCCTGGGTGTTTCTATTTGCACAGCATCAACGGGGGGTCACGCGATGCTCCAGTGACATCGTTTCTCTGCGTCACGCATTTCTGTTAGTGGCGGTCGCGTGAATTTTTTTTTTTTTCATTGCGTTTTGTCGGCTAAAACGAAGGCGCGTGCCCGGATGGATGGATGGATACGGCTGAACCCTTTCAATCAAACGGCGGGGTACGTCACCTAGCCAAAGCATTCCAGTCGCTGCGCCAAACTTTGCAGTTTGGTGCCGCGACGCGTGGAGCGTGATGTCTCGGAACTTTCTCTCAGCTTTGTATTGGGTCCGATGGCATGAATAAGAAAAACTCCATTCACTCCTAACAGGACCAATGAACTGCCTCCCTTTCATCACCTGACCCTGCTCAGCGTGGGTACGGACGGGAACATTATCATGTGGTGACTGGTTCAACGAGCACGTGGTTGGTTTTAAGGTAAAACATAGTAGTTGGGAGGGATATAAATATTAGTATGGACATGAGTCGGAAGCTCTTACAGTATTAATTGTTGTATCGGTGGTGCAGCGGAGAGCAAAGGAGGGGGTGGGGTAAGAAAGAGAGTTGAGCATCTCATTATAGAAGTCGGCGTTTCCCTTAATTGCTTTTAGGCGGCGTTTGAAACTGTAAATAATAGGCGTTTTGTTTGGACAACGTTTTGGGGCATGCTTAATTGTTACATTACCTTAATACGAAAGTAGCATTCACCCCCACCCACTTTCCCGCTGTTCACGAGAATACGTATTGAAATAATAATGTTCAATCACAGTCGTCAGACTGTTTGCAACACTGAAATCAATGGAATTATCTCCCCAACCTAAATGTATTCTCTCTGTCTCTCTCTCTCTCTCTCTCTCTCTCTCTTACTGACTTGAATTTCGACATTTCGAACCAGGTTATCAGTTTCATTCGAATACCCGAAACTATTACACCAAACAAAAGACGTGGACTCTCAATGAATGAGTTTCTATTGTTCGGGAGCTCACTTTTGGACGTTCTCGACCTCTATCTTGGCGGTCATCCCAGCTTCCGACACTTCCTCGGTGAACTTTAAAAGCTTTTCAGGTGCCACTCTGACGACGGCGGGAGATCCGGGTAGTTTGGCTTCAGCCCAGAAGTCGAGCTGCATTTCGGTAACACATAAAATGAGTTGGTTCGTCTCGAGAAACTCTCGCAGGTGTATCCGCTTTAAAAGGGTATTTATTATCACGCCGCGAGGAGTTCCTCGTTCTGGAGCCCATGGGGCGTTTGCCAAGCACCGTCTCAACGGCTTCTTTTCCTATGCGGAAAACAAGTCGTCTCCTGCTTGCGCAGGATTAGCAGTGACGTCAGAATGACGTCGAGCTCTGATTGGCTTTGATTAAAATAATAGTGGGTAGACCTCAATGGTAGATACCTTGTAAGCCCTCTTTTTTTCTTTTTTTTAATCAGCCAATAAGAGCTCGGCGTTCTGACATCACGCAACCCCCGTGCAAGAAAGAAGCAGACGAACTTCCGCGCTCCATATAGGTGGAGTCGGAAGTCCCAAAACCAAGGCCACTTCTAAGCCGCTAGTAGTTCAGGAACTTTCAATGGACCTTTTCCGAGAAGCGTTTTGCGCACGCGCGAGCGCCCGATGCCAAGCGGCGGAAGTCGGAACAAAAAATCGAGGAAATTCGGAAGGAGGCTGTGGATCAGCGAGTAGAACACGTAACTGCAGCATATATGTAATTGGGTTACAAAAAAAAAGAAAGTGGAGAGAAGGAAAAACACGACCTTTGGGTGGACGCCACGGATGTCCCTCTTTAACGTCCCGTTGGGCACGCGCCGCAGCTCAGAGAGCGAAGAAGCTGGTAGCGTGGCTCCCATTATCGATTGGTAGCGCAAGTAGGTTACGTCCTCGATTTTTAGTTCGTGCAGCCACCGCCTAGTGCCGTCGGTATGTGGAAAAGGTCCATTACATATCGCTGTTTGATTCAAACCGCGTTTCGAGGCAGTCGACATGTGGTTCACTCACGAGCACGAAATAACACACATAGAAAAAACATATATAGCCAAAAAAAAAAAAAAATGGTGCCTTAAAAGCTTTTTTTTTCAGCACTTCTGCAAGATATTTTGTGTATTTTTTGTTTTTCACTTTTCACCATAAACTCTGGTGATATATATATATATATATATATATATATATATATATATATATATATATATGAAAGACATTATAAGCTACTCATTGTGGCCCTTTGTACTTTACCCAGTTACTATTCCCATCGACTAACTTCTTTAAAGGGACCATGAAATGATTTTTCAAATTCTTCTTCCTTAGCTTTAATCTTCAACTCTGAAGAGAAATGAAAAATCACGTGATCGTGACGTGTTTTGGCACCAGATGCGATGACTCCAAGCTTCCACCGTGCTTTTTAAGCGCACCATGAAACTTGCCATTCGCAAGTGATGATGAGTGCCGTCACGGCACTCGTTGGCCACGAACGCGAATCCAAATATTCGTCGACGGATTGATTGTTAAAGGGGTATTCGCACGAGGGAGAAATCCCGGGGATTTTTCTCCGGCACGCAAAAACATCAGGCTTTGCGACGTGCAAAAGCCTCGTGTTTTCCTCTCGTGATCCGCGCGTGCCGCGCAGTGCTCGTGTCCAGTGCGTCAGCTCGGTTCAGCTGACGTGCTTGAGTAGTACCATGAATGTATCACAGGGAAAAGGCGGAAAGCTTTCGAATGAAAGGAGGTACAAAATAGTCCGTTATATTTCCAAATTTTCGTACCGAAGAGCAGGCTCGTGGCTGTGTACCCTCGTGTATCAATTTTCTGTTGGCCCACTAAACGATATGCGATTAGTCAAATCCAAATTTATCCCAGCCCAAAATTTATTTCATGGTCCCTTTGACCAACTTCTAATAAAAAACATTCAGTTATTTAACTCGCCAGTAATGGACAGAATTGTCCTCTTGAGTGAAAGAGAGCTCATGAGCGTCTCGAAGCTTCGTTAATTTCAAAGACACTGCCGATGCGTGCGTCTGGGTATGATGTACCTCAGGTGCTTGTAAACAGAAAAGTGTCATCGTGACCCACGAAATTGTTGAACTTGTCTGCGATAACGGTGGTGCTGCTGGCTCAGTATTTACTTGGAAGTTGCCATACAGCGAGGTTCGTAAGCCATTCTCGATTTTAGCGAAGAACCTTCAACAACTCAAGACAACCCAATGCTCATTGTCTTACTGAAATTAAATAAAATATGAAGAAACAAGAGATGCGATTACGAATAGATCGAGAACACACGCACACACACGCACGCACGCACACATACACAGGCACACACGCGTGCGCGCACGCGCGCACGCACGCACACACATGACATCGGCATTTAAGGCTTCATTGCGTTTTATTCTTTAAGAAATGAATGAGTATTTGAGGACGTTGGCCTCTCTGTGCAGTGCCGGCTAGACCACTGCAGTTGATTAAATTTATACATGTATAACTGAAGAAAAGCTCTTCTGCTATCACTGATTCCTATAGATGATGTGCGTTTTGCATTTCCGTCATCTAGCGTGTCGTTTGCAGTTTGTTTGAAAAAATATGGTAGGTACAAAGAACAACCAAACCAAACAGTGTCGTCTCTTGTCTTGTATGTATGTACACCGACGACCACCGACACATTTTTTCGTTGATTTCGGGAAAGATGTAGTGCGTCATTTGTTTTTATGCACTAACAAACGCAGTAATGGTGTGGCTCGGCGGTTTTGTGAATTCTTCTGAAGATTTCGACACAGCACCCTCTGTCTTACTTCTACAACGTACCCTGCATAATAATTCGGCGCTGTTTTTAGCAAGCCGGAATCTTCGAGAAAACCCTGAACTAATCGTACAATCGATAAATGGCCGCGGTCTTTACTGGGAGTAGTTGGTCATTATCTGACAGAGCTACGTCATTATATTATTTGTTTAAACTGGAACGACAAAAGCAGTCTTGATGTATTTTTTACGTGTTATTTTCCCTGTCTATCTATTTCAAAATTGCAGCTTTGTGTCCATCTATTTCAAAGTTGCAGCTAAACCGGCATATTTGTTCGTGGCAGTAAATGCTATTTGCTTTAGCTCTGATAGAAAACAAACCGTGTGCGCAAGGCGCTACACAATAGAACGTTATCAACGGAAGCACCTTGCTCGAAAGGTTCTGTAATGATTAAGTAACCTTTGCCGCGTAAAATACGTACCTCCATCTCATTTTCGAGTCGGAACAGCACATTTAGCTGGTCGCTAGTTTCGGGAACAATGGACAAAATGCTGTGCCTGCAAAAAAGAACGAATAATTAAAAAAAGAAAACGAAAAATTGCGCGCGACATTATCGTCCGTAAGAACATAACTGTAACTCAGATATGTGTTTATTGGGGTATGCAGTCTTATCGATTCATCTGTTCGAGCGACTTGGAGGTACGATGGATCGCTGAATGGTTCATCGTACAAAGTCGAGGCTCTCATTTCGAAGATAAAAAAAAAGTCCAACCAATACGGTTCAGTGGAGGAAACGTGTAGAGTGGAATAACATTAAATACACGGGACATCGAATATACAGGGTCATATATGTGTCCAACACTTCTGCTATATTTATGACCGGATATAACCCCACTTTGCCCGTAAAAAACCTTATTTCGCTTCTTTTTTGGCGGCTTCTTTGCCACCATATATGTGTACCCGGCGATAAACGTATAGCATGTGTGTACTATATTCATATATGACCTCACGTAAAACAATTCTAGGTTGAACATGTGACAGTTTTCAGTGTACGTGGTTGGGACGACGCCGTCATCGCCGGTGTGTCCAGCACTTGGTGTTTCCGCGTTACAGTTAATAATCGCTAGTAATCGTCACACCAATCGGTAAATTGATAATCAGTACTACTTGCTCCCGATTGCACCGGGCGTCGCTGTAAATCAGTACACAATTGAGGCTTCGACACCGGTCAGACAAGTCAGATTCTTGACTTATACTAGGGAAGCTGATACTGCTGTAAAAACAAAACGAACCTGTTGGCACTTTTGTGTGCAATCCTTTCTTGACTCAATAGCGGATGCCTTTCTTGTATGATGCGTTTTATTCTTTATTTGGAGCATTACCTGCTCAACCAAATGAAACTAGAATACCTGTTTTTAGAGCTTTTTCGGCTTGAGCTTTCTCCGGCTTGAGCGGCGTCGGCGTCGGCGTCGGCGTAACCGCGCGGTGCATTATGGGTAAATTTCCCCGCTAAATCTAGCGGAAAAATTTCCCCGCTAAATCTAGCGAAAAAATTTCCCCGCTAAATCTAGCGGAAAAAGTTCCTCCGCTAAATCTAGCAGAAAAATTTCCCCGCTAGATTTAGCGGAAAAATTTCCCCGCTAAATCTAGCGGAAAAAGTTCCTCCGCTAAATCTAGCAGAAAAATTTCCCCGCTAGATTTAGCGGAAAAATTTCCCCGCTAAATCTAGCGGAAAAATTTCCCCGCTAAATCTAGCGGAAAAAGTTCCCCGCTAAATCTAGCGGAAAAATTTCTCTGGGGGGTCTTGTGGGGGTCTCTGGGGGGGTCTTGTGGGGGTCTCTGGGGAGGTCCCCCCCCCCCCCCCGAGGTCACATGACCCCCCCCTCAGTACCCTTCCCTACTCCTCTTCAAAAGCGGCGCCCTAAATCGGCATTACAGGGAGTTAGTTGTAAACGGCTTCCACTTTTTTTCGCACATATTTCAAAAATAAGTTGAATATGATTTATTTTGAATCTGTATGTTTCAAATTGAGGCAAATAAAAAAAGAAGAAACGAAGCACAGCATTTTGGGAGTAGCTTCTTTTTTTTTTCGCTTTTCAATTACCCCAATGAACGCATAAACAGGAAGTTAAGTTAGAATGAATTTTCGTCAATTCTTGGCTATTCAACTTTTCACTTTTCAACAGAACTTTTCAACAAGTGGTGCTACAAAAAATTTAAAAGAACGTCGGTAATAAAAAAAAAAAAAACTATCAGTGGTCACAAAACGTTTTTATTTTACTATAAACGGTCGTGCAATCATCTAAAGCAAAGCCGAAGAACGATAGAAACTCGAAATTGTATTAAGGCCTTTACATAACACAGTAGAACAGTTGCAAATTGAAGCAAATAACAATAATCAAAAACCATATATACGCTTTGGTTTGAAACGTCTTTATTTTTACCGACCCAACGAGTTTGGTCGGTAAAAATAACGAAACAATTATGAAAACTCCATACATACGATCATCGATGATTCGATGTAGATGTAAATCATAGAGTGCTTTCATAAAATTTAATAGGGACTAAAGACTCACTCAGTGGTGTGAAGAACGGCCTCTTGGGCGAGATGCCGTTCAACCAATCAAATCATCTCGTTGTTGTGATTAGCCATAAGGAAATCTGCCTCAAGGAGGTCATTCTTGTAATTAAAAAATATGCTACTGCGGAAGTCACACCCCCTACTTCGGTGATATCTCGTCTCTGCCAACCAGGCAACCGCCAATCGAAATTGACGTGCCTCTGGTTTCGTCCTCATCCATCTTCCGCAAGTGAAAAAAAAAAAAAAAAAGCGCAGTAATACGAAGCACCGACTGCGGAAATTAAGTCGAGAAAAAATGAAGACTTCGTGAGAATTAATTGCTAAATCATCAAAATGGTTCTCTGAGGGAATATTGGAAAACCGAATAATAACAAAAAAAGATACCGACAAACTGTCCAAAAGTAATGTGAATGTCACGATGAATTCGATATAAAATCTTTGAATATATTTGTTTTTTCAGCTGTTTTTCATCGGTTGTTGTCAATATTATCATTAAGTTTTTTCGATTGTTCTTCGATCGTTTCTCGATACTTTTTTGGTGATTTCTCTAAACGTTTCTCGGTCACTAAGATTTTCTTTTCCCCCGAGGATTGATTTTTTTTTTAGGAAATCTATTTTAGAGCAACACACTTACCCGGTGTAGTCGACTTGTTGTGTGGCATTGGTGACCGGCACCGCTGTGGCGGATCCTACAGCGCCCAAGACTAGTGCGAAGATCCAGAGCCGACTCATGGCGAATCTTCCCGCTTCTGACCGTACTGTGACTCTCGAGCGAAAATCCACACGGTGATATAGTGGGCGATTGCGCTTATCTCTCTGATGTGTCCCCGGTGAGGCAATACCGTATCAATTTCCCTCAAGTGCTTGCTTCCTTTTGTCCTTCGACGTTCCCAGGGATGCGGGTACCCAGCCACACGTAACACGACAGATAGAGTCGGCGCGCTCGTGAAATATACGCCCGTTCGATGTACCGACAAGGGAGAACAGTGATGAACGATAAAGAAAATGGCTGAGCTGCGCATTTTTTTTTATATCTACTTTAAGCTGAATATGCAGCTGCACTCTCAAGTTTAACGAAGCGGTGTTCCCCTAGTGTCGGCTTGTGCAGAAAGTGCAGATAGAGCGAACAAGCCTACTGTCGAACGTCAGGTACACTGATGACCCAATACACCCAATTCTCCACGGCAGTGAGGCGTTGTACATGTGTTCTTGTTGACTGCTAGAAATCATATAGAGTGAAACAAAAGAAAAGAAAAAGAAAACTTCCCACCTCAAGTTTACACATTCGTCAAAAAGAGCCAAGGTATAAACATCGGGTCAGACACATGCAGGAAACAATTTCAAAGTAGATTTCGAAACCGTTACGTATGCCGCGTGCTCTGGCTCTGCGCGGCTCGCTAGCGTTCCTTTTTATTTATTTATTTAGTATGTATTTATTGATACTCACCAAAGCGTGCATTCACGTAATAATTCTTTTCGATTTTAACAAAGCCATGTAAGATCAGAAAAAAAATGAATTTTAAGCGGTCAGACTCCGTTCTTAACTCAAAAGCACGGAGCAAGTCTACAAAGATCAGTGGATGTACGGGAACGGTTGTATTTGTTAAAAAGGAACCTAGGTCGAAGCCGTTGGACTACATCGAGTTTTGACGAATTTTTACTAGATATGATTCTTATACTGTTTTTGCATATTCGAGAACCTGAGGTCTCACAGAAGTTTTGTAAACCAGTTTTTTTTTTTTTTTTTTTTTTTTTGGCGTCACTTGCGAGATTTTTTTCTAGAAAACACCAGAGTGCCTGCATGGCTAGCTTTCAGGGAAACATTTTCGACAGGAGTATCCCGTTGTTAATCACTCGCAAACGACAATCCTAAATACTTATTTTGTCTACACAGACTGGTTTGGTACCGCTTATGAAGCTTAAGAATTGACTTTTTTTTTTTTTTCGTTATTGAAATAAAAAGCAATTTCCGAGGGTTTAGCTCCATTTGCCATTCGTCGCACCAATGTTTGATTTTGAGCAGATTATCGTTTAGATTAACTTGATATTGTGGAGTTTCGATTTTGTTGTACAAAACACAATCATCAGCAAACAATTTCATTGGGACTGACATACCACGGCGGATGTCGCCTGTGAACAATAAAAATTTTACACACTTACGCAACCCGTAAGATGAAACACAGCTAGAGCTGTGGTGCGACGTAGGAGCCGCTAAGCAGTGGTCTCCAACTCAATTGAGCGTGGGGGCCAGACAGCTCACGCCTGAAAGGTCGCGGGCCAGCGTAGAATGGGGGGGGGGAGTCTAAAAATTTTAAAGAGAGAGACGTTGTGCCTTATGCTTTTCGTAAACTCACAGTTTTGTCAGTGAAATCTTTATATTTGATCTGTTCATATGACTAATTTGGGAACTGGCCTCATGTGATAACCAGGAAAAAGGCTCGAGGTACACCTAAACACTTCTTTTGAGTTGTGAATGCGAAAGAATGAACGTCGCTCTTGCGAGTGTCCTCGTGACGTGGCCGCGCTGCGCTGACATCGTCCGGGCCGCCGCTCTCGGCCGATTCCTTTCCCGCGCGCTGGCGGTCTGTCCGAGCGCACAAGCCGATTCCTTGTACCGGCGCGCTGGCGGCGCGGACACGCAGCGCCATGGGGAAGCGGTCGTCAAAACTGACGCGCAGCGACCTATGGAAGCCTCGTTCCTTGAAACCACGACGCGCGTCAGCCAATGGGACCGAAGCCGAAATCTGATGGATTTCGGCTTCACTGCGCTCCATTGGGAGCGTGGAAACTAGGCGCCGTTTGGATAGGCTTTTTGTGTGGCTTCAAAGCTGGGAGCCGTCAGATCGCGGCTTCACTTGGAGAAAGGAGTTGAGGTGCCGTTTAGCGCGGCTTCAAAGCTGATGACGTCGGCTCGCTCCATGGGACAGTTAATGCTTTCGCATTAATAAAATGACACCGCCACGCCAACGTCCCGGCATTTTTCATGGAACAGGAGAGCAAGTATATCGTCGTTCCCGTTACTCAATTCACGCAGGATTTAACCAACCCCAACATGTATCTAAAAAAAGCAGTCAGTTAATTTGACAGTTCTTGCTTTCCTAGCGTTTTTTATTACAATACTCTGAACAAATACGTGTCTTTTAATGGGGATATCTTTTGAAGGCGAGAATCGCGAGCTCGTAGCTTTATCTTTGGCAGTTGCTCCTGTTGATCGAGAGTTCGCGCAATCGAGATACATCCTTGAACGAACAACTCACGCTTGCAGCCTTGTAGCGGAATTGTTGTACATTACAAAAAACTGAGAAGCAAAAAAATAAAGCGAAACCAAGTGCAAATGAACACAGATCAGTATACACAATGTGAATACGTTAAAAGAGCAGAGCTACTTCTTGAGGGAAAATGAATAGACGAGATGAGATCACTATGGCGCATGCCGTTTCTAGCGCTCGAGATATGGGAACCGAGACTCGCAGCCGGTTGCCTGCGGGCCGCATGCGGCCCGCGGGCCGCGTGTTTGAGACTCCTGCGCTAAGGTATAATTTTTGGGAGCAGATGGACTGAATGAACGGTAAAGGTGCGAGCGCGCCCCATAGAGTCCGCATCGGTGTTTTGCATGAAACCGAGTAACACACCGAACGAAAACTCCATAGCGTTTTGAAACCAATGAAGGCTGTATTGAGTAGAGAGCATTTCAGCTGTCTGCGTAAGAGGGGAGCGTGTTTTAGTACGTCACTTCGGTACAAATAGTTACACGAGCTAAACGAAAAGCGCCGAATAAACAGGGACAAGAAAGTAGACAAGACGAAGTACCCTCTAAAATGAAGGTTTATTAAAATAAACACAGACTATTATTACAATCTTTTTGGCTATTCGTTTAGAAAATAAAACACTGTTTGCTTGCCTTCTCTTCCTCTCTGATTTAGAATGCATACTAAAATTTTAAGGCAGTTTTACCTGCGTATCGCTCGAGAATTGTTGTTTCAGCTAATTCTGGGTCACATGAGCACCTATACCAGTGCACTGCCAGATTGCCCGGCGGGGACTGTTTTACTGACCATGCATGTCATCTTGCTACCATGGATGACCATGCACGTTATCTTGGCTGCTTGGTATCTTGTTATAAGCGGCCCGTGGAATGTTTGAGCGGAGTGCCGCAAATCGCCCGCGTCGGTATGGAGTGCGGTCAACGGCGCGAAACCGCGAAGTGTCCCACTTACAGCTATCGCTTTAATATCGCTGTGATATCGCTGTAAAACAAAATTGGGCCTAGCACACTACCCTGAGGTACTCCTGAGGCCACAAGAGCGAGCCCAGACCAGTGTTGGACAAAACACTCGATAAAAGTATTTAAGTTACCTACTGACACGGTCATGCCTGGTTACGTTTTGGAAACGGCTGCTCTTATGTGCATGTGGTGTCACTGAATCGAATCCGCCGCCCTTCACTAAGGCAGAAAGCGAAGAAGTTTTGTTAAGTGTTCACATGATTGTCAAAAGAACTTGAAACCGGACAAAGCGCTCTGATGGACCAAGTAAAAGTACTCGGAGAAAAATAGACGCAAACGGACATACTCGCATCTAGTCTTTCCTCCCGAGTCACAAACCTCGAAGCTGAGCTGGTTTCATTGAAGTTAAATCCTGCGCCGGTTTGTGCTGATGGTGATAGAACCAAAGTCTCTGAATCTCAGCTGAGGCAGCTAGAAGCACGCTGCGACGCCGCAAAAAGTCGTTGGCGCAGGTGTGTAACTTGCTGTTTTATGGACTTCCTGACAAGGCAACGGAAACCTGGGCCGAATCAGAGCAGCTCGTCCGCTCTGTGTGCACTGAAAAACTTAGTATTGAGTTGGACGGTCTTGTCATAAAGAGATCGCCTTGGTTTTTCAGTCCCAAAAAACAAAGACCAATCATCGCAAAGTTTTGTTTCTTCAAAAAGATACAAACCGTTCTTTCGGCCGGTTTCAAACGGAAGGGCACTATCTATTGGCGAAGACTTTCCGGCAAACGTACGCGTTGCCAGAAGGGAACTGCTTGCATTTGTGAAACCAAAGAAGTGTCGGGCTGCGATTTGATAACCTATACACGGATGAAAATTATTTCGTTTATGATTATACTAACCAACGTGTCATTCCTCGGAGCGAATACTGTATTTACTCGAGTAATAGCCGCACTGTTTATGAAGAAAACCTGAGGGTTCGCTTTTTTGCGGAGCACGCAGGTTGCCAATCACCGCGAGCCGATTTTGTTCTTCTATACTTCGTTTCAGCTTCGGTCCGAGCGCGGCCGATGTTATGAGCCGAAGGGCCAATCAAACTGCGAAGAAGGCACAACGTCCTGGCATGCTCTCTGCAGTTGATAGGACCAGCCGGTATTCGCCGTCTCTCTGTGCGTGCTCCTCCGCCGGCTAGTCTTATCAAGCGCAGAGAGCACGCCATGACGCTGCGCTTTCTGCGGTGTTTGATTGGCCCTGCGGCTCATTACATCGGCCGCGCTCGGACCGAAGCTGAAACGAAGTATAACCGAAACGTGGCTGACCCCCGAGGTTCCTGACTTTGAAATATTTCCGTCCAACATTAATTATGCAATGTACAGACGCGATATGATTAACAGAGGGGCGGAGGAGTACTGATAGCGATAAACAACCGCTTGTCATCATCGTTAGTGGTTACAGCAACTGGCTTGGAGGTGGCTTGCCCTTCAAGAAATGTCTGCGCGACTACTAACCCGCAAAACAGTCGAAGAGCCAATCTCTGTGATCTACGAAATCAGCTCTGCGAATGATGAGGCGGAACATCTGTTTAGAGCTGAAAATTAAGGCTGCCCTGTAGCATTACGCAATGCAAGCATGATGCTTTGCATTGTGTAATGCCACAGCGCAGACTTCATTTTTAGGTCTAAACGAATGTTCCGCCTCATCATTCGCTGAGCTGATTTTGTAGATTGCAGATGTTGGCTCTTTGATTGTTTTGCGGGTATGTAGACACGCGGGCATTTCTTAGAGTGTGGATTCATATTTCATCATACAGATACTGCTTGGCCTTTGTTACAGACCACCAGCCATGAGTATAGAGACTTTGTTCCTTTATTACACGAGTGTCTTAGCAACTTATCTTCAAAATTTCCCAAAGGAACTCCTGTACTTCTCAGTGATTTTAACTATCCCGCCATTATTTGGGACACGTTATCCAACAGCAATAATGAATCAAAACATTTATGGATATGTGTTGACATTTCAACCTCAAACAGCTCATTAATCAATCAACAGGAATCACTGCGCAGAGCAGCAACATACTGGACCCTTGACTTTCTACAGATCCTAGTATTATTAATAATCTTTCATTATTTCCTGGGCTCAGTGATCACACCATAGCACAATTTAACTTTTCCTTCTTATTAAACGCAAATGCCTTCACCAGATAATAAAGCTGAGTACGCTTCAATTAACACTGAATTAGAAATATTTTACGAGCAATTTGTCAAACATTTCGCTTGCGCGTAGTTGAACAAAACTGGATCCAAATTAAGAACAGCTAGGTTATCCTTTTAAGCCCAGAAATATGTACCCCTGGTTAACATTTAAACCGACGGACACAACTGTTTACTAAAGCAATTAAGAGAATAGGCAACAAAAAGGAGAGGTTATTTAAGAGAGTTAAGCTATCATCCACCAATAAGGAGGTACGGAATAAATATGAAAATGGGAAAAATTATACAGACAAGAAATTGCAAACGCTAAATCGAAATTTCATGAAAAAGACAGTAATAAAAGTATGGTCCGACAATCCCAAACAGTTCTGGAATATGATCAATCCTAAACCTCTCACCCTCTCACTTTCACAAACATAAAACAACTGGATTTAACTGACAAGCAGTGTGCTTATTGCCTAAATAAATATTTTTGTTTTGTATCTACCAACAAAAACCTTAATACTGTTCCGGTGCTTCATATTCCTAATCACCCACAAATGGAAGCGATTACTATCAACCCGTTCGGTGTCTTAAAAATCATCGAAAATCTGAAACTTACCTTAAATACAAGGAATGGCCTCATCTATTCCAAGATACTATTCAACACGAAACACATATCATATCTCTATTTGTCTGACATTTTCCGTGAATCCCTTGCTTCTGGTTACATTCCCCTTGACTGGAAAATCTTCCGTGTCATCCCTATACATAAGTCCGAAGACCGAAATTCACCTCTTAATTATTGTCCCATATCGCTAATTAGTATCCCATCTAAAATTATTGAAGACATCATATTTTCAAATGTCATAAAATATATTGAGTCCAATAACCTTCGCAACGTTAATCAACATGCATTTAGGAAAGGACTATCATGTGAAACGCAACTCCTAGAATTCGTACATAACATTCACTCTAACCTTGAACATAAAAACAAGTCGATGCCATCTTGACTTTGCAAAAGCCTTCAAGAGAATCTCATACTCGTCTCCTTACCAAACTTCACCACTTTAAAATTAATCCTCTTATCATCGCCTGGATATCAGAATTCACGTAACATCAGGCGTCCCTAGGGGTTGCGTACTCGGACCACTTCTTTTTCTAATCTACATTGATGATCTCCCTCTTTGTGTCTCTTCCATTATCCGCCTTTTCGCAGTTGACTGCGTAATTTATCGCACAATCATGAATAGTGACGATCATTCGTCCCTGCAAACCGACTTATCATCCATTGCTCACTGGTGTGACAAGTGGCAGCTGTCTCTGAACTTAGATAAATGCAATGTGCTAACCTTTTCTCGTATTTTATCACTGTCCTTTTACACCTACAATATTAACGACACAGTACTCAGTAGTGCTTCATCCTACAAATATCTTGGTCTTCATATAACAAGCGTTTTGCCGTAGCGGGGTCAAATATACAACTTGTCATTTTCTTCTATTTTTATTTTCTTCACACTGAAGTCTGCATTGTTGTCGTGGGTCGTTTCCCGTTCTGCGTTGCGCCTCAGTGCGGCAATCTTTACTTCCGTAGAGCAACCCCTTTTGTTTGAGGATTTTTGGCGGGAAACTCTAGGGGAAAAAAGGCGTCTTTGGGAAGGCGAGGGAGAAAACTTTCATTGTACGAACTTTGGGGTGAATTATGAATCACAATTGGCACAAAAGCGATGTTTTCACGAGTTCAATTCAAGTCATCGGAGCTTATCGGAGTTAGCAACAGGATTTGATTGCTCGAAAGAATGTTCAAGTTTGTTCATGCCACGCCCACGCTACTTCATACCGAAGAACTCGGAAAATGGTGGAATGTCAAATATGCATTTGATATAATGAGTACGAGATACTCAGAAATGTAATTAAAATATAGTATCAAATACTCTCGATGAGAAGTATTCGCAAGATACCGAGATACTTTAAAAAGTATTTGAAATGAAGTATCTTGAGTAGAGTAATTGAGATAGGCACAAGCATGGCCCAGACACACAGCCTCCAGACTCCACAAAGTGTACTCTGGATGACAGATATGAGCGAAACCAGTTTGCAATCTTTGGGTTCCTAAATAGGGCTTCAATTTTAAGTAATAATTTATAATGAGACACTTTATCGAAAGCCTTTGCTAAGTCTAAGAATATTATGTCCGTTTGAGCACGGTTATTTATGGTTTGGGAAAGATCATGCAATGTTTTAATGAGATGGGTTGCTGTAGAAAGAGATTTACAGAATTCGTGTTGATACTGATACAAAATATCGTAATTGTTAATAAACGCTAAAGGATGTTTCTAAACAATGTGTTTGAGAAGTTTTGAAAATGTAGTAATGAGAGATATAGGGCGGTAATTATCCACAAAAGAAGCCGATTCTCCTTCGTGTACAGGAATAATTTTGCAATCTTCCAGGGTTTTGGTACAGAGTCATTATTTATCAAGGATTGAAATAAAAAAAAAAAGTGCTCCATTCAACTTAACGCTTTAAAAATATATTTGAAATTCCGTCAGGACCGGAACTTTTCTTAATGTCAATATTAAGTAAGAGGTTTAGAACTCCCTGCTCTTAAATTATTAAATCATTAACTGGAGGATAATCAAAAAAAAATATATCCCTGCTGGAAAAGCTGTGCTGTCATGAGTAAGCACTGATGAAAAGAAATAATTAAGTGCCTCGGCTCGTTGCTGACTGTTATCGGGAGCACATTCCTTCTTGGGGATTAACATATCGCCAAAATTTAGCTTGGGCTTCAGTGAGAAATTTTTCATTTGAATTTATAACGACTCTTTTCAGTTCGTGACTCAGGGTCTCAAGTGCCATCTATGCATAGCTCTGTATCGTCACTTGCACTCTAAGAAATGCCTGCGCTTCCACTTACCCACAAAACACTTAAAGAGCCAATCTCTGAGATCTATGAAATCAGCTCAGCGAATAATGAGGTGGAACATCCGTTTAGACCTCAAAATGAAGTCTGCGCTGTGGTATTACGCAATAGAAGCATGACGCTTTGCATTGCGTAATGCCACAACGCAGACTTCATTTTTAGGTCTAAACGGATGTTCCGCCTCATCGTTCGCCGAGCTGATTTCATAGATCGCACAGATTGGCTCTTTAAGTGTTTTGCGGATAAGTAGACGCGTTGGCATTTTTTAACGTGTGGTTTAAATGCGTCCGTTTTCCGACGACGCTAATTAGCTTTCGTTTGATATGTATAACTACCCTAGTAATCCAAGGGTTAGTCTTGTCGTTTTGAAACGGGTAGGCACGAGTGAATTAAATGAGTGACCTGTGACATCAGCGAAAAAATCCCACAAAGCATCGGTAGTAGCACTTGACTGACAGAGCAATTAAAAGTCATCAAATGATCGTTCAAGGTAATCTAAAATACTAACACCTTCTGCTGCCTCAAAATTAAAAAAAAAATAAAAGAAGAAAGAATAATTTTTCTGCCAAGGACGATTATGCGTGCCAGGGCACGAACAAGTTCAACGTCGTAATTGTCATTTTAACGTGAAACGTTCTTTGGCTTGCCAGATTTAGTGAAGCCCGAAAAATCGACCGCGAAGCTCGACGCTGATTGACTGGTGGAAAGGTCACGTGATCATCAATGATTGGCTGACTCCGGTGAGTATTGGAGATTCTGGAAAACCGCCAGGCTTTAAAACCCGACCAGCGCGAGTATCTTCACTCCAGGAGCTGCTATCAAGTTTCTATGCTACGTGTTTATCTGATTAAGAGCGCCGTGAGCGTAGGCGCCGGGCTCGGTAACCTTCCGGAGCGATACCAACACAATTGCCCAGCAGTTGGCTACATATTTTATGACCCGAGATTCCTTCAAAAAGTCCACATTACGAGATTTAAACAAACAAATAATATTAATATTATTGATATTTATTTTCGAGTGTCCAAAAACCACCCGAAGGGCTTCACTTTGATACACCATGAACGAGTAAACGCCAAATTGACACCCAGAAAAAATAAAACACACATCACAGATAGGTAGGGATCCCTTGCAATTGCTTGCGGTAAACAGGAGAATCACTAAAAATTTCAATACCTGGATTGTCAAAGCGATTGAACAGTGATTGCATGCGAGACAAGGGTGAAGATCTGCATATGGTATTGACATAAAAAGTACAGTGATTTCTAGACAAACGGGAGGGGACATGGATATTAACCATTTTGTTCTTAGCCCGAGACTGACGCAGGAAAAAAGGAAAGTTTCAAAGCAGAAGAAAAATGAACAGTCGACACTTCTTGCGTCTTCCCTGACAACATTACGTCCCCCGGGTTGATAACAGAACCTCCACACTTCCGATCGAAAAAAACTACAAAACCGTGACTCTCTAGCCCTTCCCTCCTGAGATCTCATCTTAATGCTATCCAGAACATGCCTTCGTTTGACATACCACATACGGTTGAAAATTGTCCTCCTGGTGCTGTTTCAAAGGATGTAGTCTCTGTGCCGCTTGAAATCACCTCCCATCAGGAGCTCCCAAAGTCTTTCGGAAGCGCTGCGTATTTCTTTGACTTGAGGCTTCTCTGTACGCCTTGAGGATCCTCTTCTTGCCGCTTTAATGGCCCCCCGATGCCGAAAGATGTTTGAATGCAGCTGGGTCCACGAATCTTTTTCGAAGGCAGATGCCGAAATATGCAACCTCGGCCTTCAGCTCCGCCAGTCGACGTCCCAGCCGGTCCAGTATACTGCTACCACTTGAGAAATTCAGGCGGTCGGTGTCGCTGATGATGTGGTTGTACATGAGAAGGGGATCAAGCCTGCTTCAGGTATAATCAATGATAATGCAGTGAGTGCGCAGGCGAGCTGGTGGATGTTAACCATTTTGTTCTTAGCCCGAGACTGAGGCAGGAAAAGAGGAAAGTTTCGAAGTAGAAGAAAAATGAACAGTCGAGGACACGTCTCTATTTTAGAGACGTGTCCTCGACTGCTCATTTTTCTTCTACTTTGAAACTTTCCTCTTTTCCTGCCTCAGTCTCGGGCCAAGAACAAAATGGTTAACATCCACCAGCTCGCCTGCGCACTCACTGCATTATCATTGGATATTAACATTGAATAAAAGCGAATCATTATCTATAATTTAATCTAATATCTTGTGCAAAGTGATCAAGTCACGTTCTGTTCTTCTGTCAGACAATGATTTCAGCAAGAACTTATCTAGCAGAAAGTTGTAATCAAAATAAAAGCGGCACTGAAGATAGCGATCCTAAACGATGCGTATTAAGCGTTTTTGCGCACTTAAAATTTATGCTGACTGCGTTTCTGACAGAATTCCAAGTTGTAGAACCGTATATCAAGCCTTGACTTAACACGAAATCAAAATAAACGAATAATACGGGCAGGGTTTTTAAATAGCTTCGTGATGCGAGATACAGTCCCAAAATCATTGTCGCGCTGCCAACAATAGAACACACATGCCAAATAAACGTGAGTTCCTTATCTATGCTCACGCAGAGGTCTCTTACAACAAAAATGTGTTTGATTAAAGTTTCTTTTAATACATAATCGTTATGCTCTACATTACGACATCTGCACAGCAACAATACATTTGTTTTGAGAGGGTTCAGTGACAAGCAATTCACTTTACACCACTGAACTATGCGCGACACATCATTCTGTAAAGTTTCGCAGTCTACAGGAGTAGGAACATTGAAAAAAAGCTTAATGTCACCTGCAAGCAACAACTCGGAATTTTCGACATATGACGCTATATCATTTACGAAGATAAGAAGCAAAAGGGGGCAAAAGGGGGCCGGCGCTGGCCAATCGCGAGGACGGATCCGCCGTCGCGATTGGCCAGCGCCGGCCCTCGCGCCTTCCTCGAGGAAGTGGAGGCGCCCTTCAGTTTGAGTGTAGTTTGAGTGAGGTTTCTGAATTCGGCGGTAAGTATATACTCTAAAAAAGGCCCGTGCATCCGCTTTCCCGCAAAACACCTGGAGAGCCAATTACCGCAACTTATACGGAGGCAGCTCAGCGAATGACAATACCGAAACATATGTTTATACCAAGAAACATAGTCTGAGTTGTGACATTAAGCAATGGAAGCGTGGCGTTTTGTATTGCTTAATGTCAGAACTCAGAGTGCGTTTTTTTGGTCTCAGCATATGTTTCGGCATCATCATTCGCTGAG